ACCACCAGTACCGGCGTCGTCGACCAAAAAACTGTTATAACGATCATTGAAACGCAACTGATTTTCGAGAATCCGGTTACGTATACGCAAAATATTGGCAAATCTTAGCCGATATAGTCTTTCGCGAAATCCACGTTCTCTTGGCGTCCACTGGCGATACTGTTGCCGATACTGTAGATCAATGTCGACCAGATCTTGTTGTAGACGATTGGCTTCCGGTGCCAAACGGCAAGCAAATGAGAGCAACGATGTTCCTAGCCGGATAAACCAGAGTTGACTGAGCACATGTACGCGCGGTCCGTCAAAGAATATGCCCCGCGTGTCGTCCGGATGGTTCAAATGCGGAACCCGAGGATTATGCTTATGATAGACCAGGAACCGGGCATTTTCTATGTCATCATCGTTGCCGGCACCGGGCTGATATTGACGCCTAAACCAAAATGGGCGAAACATACCTGGGCTAGGCGTTGGAAAGAAACAATTGGCGTACCAGGTGTCCTGCGAGCCGGGTATAGCTCGGTCGGCTTCTCGGCATCGATTTACCACTATAGTTAACCTATTTGGATCCCATGGTACTCGCATAGTCTGACCAATACCGTGCAACCCGATGTTAATTACATTGTCGGGCGGTTCATTCGCTAACGACTGATTCAATTGTGTTTCCAGTCCTTCGGCTCTTTCATTGACCTCACGAAGAGTGCTAAGCAATCGATTCCAGTCGTCGTAACGAAACAATAGGATATTTCTGAGTCGTTTGGCTTCATCTACGATCCATTTGCCTTCCCATCCTCTTCCCGCAGCATTCAGATACTGGTTTCGATGCAATAGTATATATTGTAATGAAACATCTATAAACTCAAACTGTTCCGGTGCTATATTTCCAGGCGCTTCCAGTATTTGTTTTATATTTTTTAGCTCTTCCCGTTTTTGGCGCAATACCTGGTCAGTGATTACTGGTGGTGGTGGTGGTCGTAGTTGTGCCATTTAGTAGCCCCGTTATCTATCTATATGTATAATATAGATTTATGCCTTATGATCTGTATGGGTATCTGTTTGCGTGTTTAGGTGGGTGCCCTAGTATGTGGTGGTGGTGATGATGGTGATGGTCGTGGCTTTGATTGTAATATCCTAGGTTGCAGTGATGGTGTTGCTGCTGAGTTTGATATTTATTATAATTTTTTTTTAATTTTTTGCTGAAACTTTGAAAATTAAAAGTTAAAATTTCTTTTCTAATTGTTTTTCTTTTTTAGTTAAAAAGTATTGTTGTTTTACTTAATAGATAAATACTTGTTTGTATTTGTTTTGTAGAACAAACAAAAAAGAAATTCATATATATTTTAAATCAAATTTTCATCAAATTATTCAAAAATATTTCCAGTATTAAGAAAATGAGATAATTATAGATATAATTAGAGAATATTATGATTTTTTTTTAATGATTATATTAATAATTTTATTTTATTAATCACTTACTGTACTACTAATACTACTTACTGTAGTTTTATTGTTCAAACACTACTACAGATTTGTTTGATTATTCATAATCTACAGTTCATGACCGGTAACTGTATGGGTAATACTGGTAGTTACGGTATAGCGTGACCACTACCACCACCACCGCCGCCGCCGCCGCCGTTCTGTAACTCATGTAAACGATTGGTAAAATGCTGATAAAACTGGCGAATCCGGTCGCGTATAAACAATATATAGGCAAACCGTTGCCGATAGAAATTTTCATAATCTGTCCTCACCTGTGCAGCCCAACCGCGCGACTGTTGCCTATACTGTAGATCAATATCGGCCAGCGACTGTTGCAGATCGTTGGCCATTGGCAACAAATTGTTGGTATAATCGGCTACTATATACTGTAACATTTGTATGACTTCCTGGCCGACTGGCATATTCTGGGGCGGTTCCATCTGAACAAACTGGTTGATAGTTTGGTCGCATGTCTGGGCCAATTGACAGGCCTGGTCGACAGTGGCCAGAAATGCATCGTCAGCATTGTGGCCAGTCAGCCGATTGTTTAGATCGCATTCGAGTCGTTCGGCTTCCTGGATGATCCATCGGCCTTCCCAGCCTCTGGTATTTTCATAGGCCGTCCTATTCATCAACAGTTGCATCAGTTGTTCACCGATTTGGGCCAAATGCAGTGTCTGGGTGTTCGGGTTGACTATCATTTGTTTCCATACTTGTAGATGTTGTCGCATTTCGTGCAACATATTCTGATCAACTACCTGCGCTTGTTGTACCTGTGCCATCATATGCGATCTACTATGTGTGTGTGTATGTGTTTTGATACCCGGTTCTATCAGATTTAGGTATGGGTGCCCAAAAGTATAGTGGTAGTGGTGGCTGAAAATGATATTAGGGTTTCAGACACTGTTGAGTTTTTCAATTTTATTATTGAAATTGTTGTGCGTTTTATTGTTGCTTTAATTTAAAAATAAAAATTATATTTTAAATCTAAATCTGAAAGGATTCAAATCAGTCTTTAGTGTCTAAGCTCTTCAGTCAATATATATTTTTGTCCAACAATTTAGTCCACAAGAAAAACAAACAGATATTATAAGTCAAATGGCGAACCAATATATGGGCCGTGAATTGCAACCAAAACCCGGAACAACACTGAGATCGGTGTTCGTCAGAGAAACCTTAGGTTTCAATCAAGTAATGCTAATGGCATCGGAAGTACAGGAAAGAGATCAACAAAACACACCGATAATTATGGCCAATGTGTTCGGCACTGTACCGCCAAAACAGTCACAAACAACAAATGATATTATCGGTCAATTGAATTCAATTGTTGGCGACAATACGGCTTACGACGACCAGTACTCTACCGGTGCTGTCATTAGTTGGACTGAAAAACGTCTCGACATTAATCAGCCGTCGCTTGTTTTGTTGGATACTTCTGAATTGGTACCAAATCCCAGTTCTGCGACCCAATTATATACGGACTCATTATTTCCGGTATTGATGGCCATTGGATTTAAACCATTGAACCAAAGACCTGAAGGCTATGGTAATGCAATTTACTTGTATTTGTGTCACAAGAATATCGGAATATTAAACAAAAGAGTCAGATATGTGTCCAACAATCAAGAAGTCCAATGGTGTAAAACATTTCCAGCAAATCTTCATCTGATTGCCAATAATTACTCTTCAATTTTATATCCAAGAATTGGTTATTATGTTATTTACCGAATACTGGATATAAATAATATTGATTACAATGTAATTGGTTTGTACGCACCCATCAATCCGGATCCGCCATTAGATCCAGAAAGAGTTAGCCGAGATATTATCGATCCAGGCGTACAGTATTCGTCCAAATGGTTTGTCGATCGGTACACATATCTGGTCGCCAACGATGGCCTATTGTGTGTCGCCGAAGATGTTGATCCGAAAAAATCAAGCGATCAATGGTTGACATCGATACTCAAATCGGATACCTATTGTATTATCGAAGGTCGGTCAGAGATCAGAACTCGGGCCAAAAGCCGTGATTTTGGTCGTATATTTCGTAGTCTATCGTATCTGGAACTGGTTGTCATTGTTGGCGAAGGTGTAAATCTTTTGTTCATCCAAAGAGAAATTATTAGCAGAAAACACGATTACTCTTATGTCAAATCCAATTACAGTCAATACGATCTGTCAATGAATCTGTTTAGTATTGATTCGTATCGATTGTGTACAGATTTGCAGACATCACAGGAACCGCTTCTTATTGGACAACAACCGCCGCACAAATACAGTTTAGAACCGCTGATGAAAATGGCTGATATTAACGACTATTTTGAGCTAACATACAGAGATCATAATCAAATTGTTGGTCACTTAATCTTTTCATTGTTTCGCAATTTTTCATCAAATCAACGATTTACCGACTACTGGAATGTCTTCATCTGTTTGGACGAAATGAGAGTCAGTACAGCCGACTATCAGTACTGTACGACAGTTGGCGCCGAATATCCTGTAAATCCACTAAACAACAGTATACTATGTCTACCAATCTATTCGTTTCGCACGAGTCTAATAGTACGGCCCATACCATTGACAGCCGAATTGCGACACAAATGGACAAACAATGGCAAAGACAGGGATCTTATTTGGGAAAACAAACACAAACTATCGTTTTTGTTTATGTCTTGGATTGAGAGTTCACCGTTCGAACGGTTCCATAATGTCGGCCTCAATATGATTGAACGTTTTCGGACAATCGATAAATTCAAATTAAGATTTCCGACTAAAGAGGAAAAACAATTTCAAAATCAGCAAAGAGTTGATTGGGCGAGAAATAAGAAAGGCATGCAAGAGCCCAGTGAGCTAATTAGGTTGAGAGAGCCAAGTGAACAGAGAGATCTGGAAGAGCCGAGAGAGTTGGAAGAGCCGAGTGAACAGAGAGAGCCGATAGGATCGAGAGAGTCGAAAGGTCGAGATATTCCAGAGAGTCCAGAGAGTCCAGAGAGACAAGAAAGTAGAGACAGCCGAACGAGACGGGAGAGTCTAGAGAGTCGGGATAGACGAGAGAGACGGGAGAGACGAGAAAGACAAGAGAGACGGGAAAGACAAGAGAGACGAGAGAGAGAAGAAAGACGAGAGAGACAAGAAAGACGAGACAAACACAAAGGACACCGAACTAAGTACTGATCAATGAATTAATGAAAAAAAAAGATTGAAATTAAATTGAAATTATTAAACAAAACAAGTTGTTTGGAAATTAATTATTATATTATTTATTTCAATATTTTCATTGATTGATTGATTGATATATATATATTGTTTTCTGTATATTGTTAATTATTATAGAAGTATTGTTACGCGAAAACATAACAATTAATTTTTAAAAATAAAAATTATATTTTAAATCTGAAAGGATTTAAATCAGTTTCTAGTGTCTAAAGTCTTCAGTCATTATATATTTTTGTCCAACAATTTAGTCCACAAGAAAAACAGAAAAATAAACAGATATTATCAGTCAAATGGCGAACCAATATATGGACCGTGAATTGCAACCAAAACCCGGAACAACACTGAGATCGGTGTTTGTCAGAGAAACCTTAGGTTTCAATCAAGTAATGCTAATGGCATCGGAAGTACAGGAAAGAGATCAACAAAACACACCGATAATTATGGCCAATGTGTTCGGCACTGTACCGCCAAAACAGTCACAAACAACCAATGATATTATCGGCCACTTGAATGCCATTGTTGGCGACAATACGGCTTACGACGACCAGTACGCTACCGGTGCTGTCATTAGTTGGACAGAAAACGTCTTGTTTTGTTGGATACTTCTGAATTGGTATCAAATCCCAGTTCTGCGACCCAATTATATACGGACTCATTATTTCCGGTATTGATGGCCATTGGATTTAAACCATTGAACCAAAGACCTGAAGGCTATGGTAATGCAATTTACTTGTATTTGTGTCACAAGAATATCGGAATATTAAACAAAAGAGTCAGATATGTGTCCAACAATCAAGAAGTCAAATGGTGTAAAACATTTCCAGCAAATCTTCATCTGATTGTCAATAATTCCGATACAATTAAATATCCAAGAATTGGTTATTATGTTATTTACCGAATACTGGATGTAAATAATACTGATTACGATGTAATTGGTTTGTATGCACCCATCAATCCGGATCCGCCATTAGATCCAGAAAGAGTTAGCCGAGATATTATCGATTCAAGCGTACAGTATTTGTCCAAATGGTTTGTCGATCGGTACACATATCTGATCGCCAACGATGGCCTATTGTGTGTCGCCGAAGATGTTGATCCGAAAAAATCAAGCGATCAATGGTTGACATCGATACTCAAATCGGATACCTATTGTATTATCGAAGGTCGGTCAGAGATCAGAACTCTGCCCAAAAGCCGTGATTTTGGTCGCATAATTCATGGACAATCATATCTGGAACTGGTTGTCATTGTTGGCGAAGGTGTAAATCTTTTGTTCATCCAAAGAAGTATTATTAGTAGAAAACCCGATTACTCTTATGTCAAATCCTATTACAGTCAATACGATCTGACAATGAATTTGTTTTGTATTGATTCGCATGTATTGTGTACCGATTTACAGCAGACAGCAACACTGGAACCGCTTCTTATTGTACAACAACAGCAGCAGCCGCCACACAAATACAGTTTAGAACCGCTGATGAAAATGGATGATATTAACGACTATTTTGATCTAACATACAGAGAACGTGATCAAGAAGTCGGTCACTTAATCTTTTCGTTGGTTAGGAATTTTGCAACAAATCAACATTTTGTCGACTACTGGAATGTCTTCATCTGTTTGGACGACAAGAGTATGTTTACCGGCGACTATCAGTACTGTACGACAGTTGTCGCCGAATATCCTATAGATCCACAAAATGAACGAATACTATGTCTACCGATCTATTCGTTTCGGGCTAATCTGATCGTACGGCCCATACGATTAACAGTCGAATTGCGACACAAATGGACAAACAATGGCAAAGACAGGGATCTTATATGGTTTAACAGACATAAGCTATCGTTTTTGTTTATGTATTGGATTGAGATATCACCGCTCAAACGGTTCCATAATGTAAGCCTCAATATGATTGAACGGTTTCGGACAATCGAGAAATTCAAATATAGATTTCCGACTAAAGAGGAAAAACAATTTCAAGTTCAACAAAAAGTTGATTGGGCGAGAGGTAAGAAAGGCATGCAAGAGCCCAGTGAGCTAATTAGGTTGAGAGAGCCGAATGAACCGAGAGATCTGGAAGAGCCGAGTGAATCGAGAGATCTGGAAGAGCCGAGTGAACCGAGAGATCTGGAAGAGCCGAGTGAATCGAGAGATCTGGAAGAGCCGAGTGAATCGAGAGATCTGGAAGAGCCGAGTGAATCGAGAAAGCCGATAGAAACGCTAGGGTCGAGAGAGACAACAGGTCGAGAGAGTTCAGAAAGTCCAGAGAGACGAGAGAGACGAGAGAGACGAGAGAGACGAGAGAGACGAGAGAGACGAGAGAGACGAGAGAGACGAGAGAGACGAGAGAGACGAGAGAGACGAGAGAGACGAGAGAGACGAGAGAGACGAGAGAGACGAGAGAGACGAGAGAGACGAGAGAGACGAGAGAGAGAGAGACGAGAGAGACGAGAGAGACGAGAGAGACGAGAGAGACGAGAGAGACGAGAGAGACGAGAGAGACGAGAGAGACGAGAGAGACGAGAGAGACGAGAGAGACGAGAGAGACGAGAGAGACGAGACAAACACAAAGAACACCGAACTAAGTACTGATCAATGAATTAATGAAAAATGATTGAAATTAAATTGAAATTATTAAACAAAACCTAAAAAAACAAAACAAATTGTTTGCAAAATATTTATTATATTACTGTATTTATTCAATATATTCAATAATTATATTATTTTCAATAATTATAAATTTTAATATATTCATCGATTGATTGATTTATTGATTGCTATGTATATTATTTTCTGTTTGCTATTTAATGTGTATTTCTTGGTTGAATATGTTTGTGTCAAAAGTTATTAATAGTCATCAATCAAACAATCAATAAAATTAATATAACAATTAATTTGATTGTTACGTGATTTAATAGTTTTAAAGAAAATTATTATTTAAATTATAATATTTTTTCAGTTAATAGTCTTCAAAGTCAGAGAAAAAAACAATTTCAGAGATCAGATACACAAAGATATTATGAGTCAAATGGCAGACAGCGGTGCTGTCCGTGAATTGCGTACAAAACCCGTAACAATGCGATCGGTGTTCGCCAGAGAAACCATTGGTTTGTTTACAGAAAAATTGATTGATTCGGGAGTTCAAGAAAGAGATCCACAAACCAATGAACTACTTATTGTGGCCAAAGTTTTCGGTAGTGTTGAACCAATACAAAAGACAAAAATACCACCAAAAGATGTCGAAGATTTTCATCCAGCAGTCCATCTATTATGCGGTATTGTTAGAGACAATAAAACTGATGACCAGATCATTAATGGCACTATCATTGGTTGGACTGAAAGACACTCAAAATCTCGTCTGGCATTCAATGTTTTGCTTGATTTCAATCAATCGGAAACAAATGATAGTTCGGTAAACACATTATACACGGATTCAATATTTCCGGTAGTAATGGGCGTTGGATTCAAACCATTAGACAAACTACCCGACGGTTATGGTTATGCCATTTACTTGTATTTGTTTGGTATGAATATCCAACCGATTCAACGAAAAGTTAGATTTGTATCTAACAATCAAGAAGTTGATTGTCAAACATTTAGAGCAAATCTCTATATATTAGCAAAAATTTCCGATAAAATTGGATATAAAGATAATTGTATTGCTATTAAGCGAATACTGGATGTAAACAATCCGTCCTATGATGTGATAGGTCTGTACGCACCCGTCATTGCCAGAGCTATAACAGGGACTCCGGCAAGAGTTGGTCGAGATATATCCAACTCTAGCATTCGGTATTCAATCCGGTGTTTTGCCGATCGGACCACATATCTTGTTGCCAACGATGGACTACTTTGTGTTGTCGAGAGAGTGGAGAATGAGATTAAAAAATGGATGGTATCACTGCTCAAGAGTGACACCTACTGTATCAGTGAGGGCTGTTCAACGACAATGTCGTATAAAAAACTCAGCAGTCTTCATCAGTATTTCCCTTTCGTGCCGTACAGTGAACTGATTGTCATTGTTGGCGAAGGAGTCAATCAATTGACAATCGAAAGAATAGCCGAAAAAGTAGTTCCCAATTATTCATTTGTTGTGTCGACACTTCGTCTACAAGATCTGACAGATAATGTTGTCTGTATGGAAGCCCGACAATTGTCAGCCGATTTGCAATCAACAACTGAATCTCCATTACAGTCATCGCAACTAAGTCTACGACCACTAATGAAATTGTCGGATATCGGCGATCACTTTGTTCTTCAGTATTACGATAGAAAAAAATTTATCGGTGACTATGTGTTCAGTTTAAACACATTTTATTATACTAACCGGCAATATGGCGACAGTTGGAATTTGTTTGTCTGTTTGAACGATAACACAACCGATCCGATGGACAGAGATTGTCAATATTGTTCAACAGTTGTGGCCAGATATGCCATTTATCAGGACTTTAGTGGCCAACAACAACAACAATTGGATTTACCAGAAATCGATACCTACGATCGCAATCCGTATGTCCCGATAGAAGTATTATCACCAGATATACGTCATCGATGGACAAATGATGGTCGCCAGAAAATTCTACCATGGAAGAATAGAGATGAGATAAGATTTCATGTACATCTAATGGAAGGAGTCAAGATTCTTCAGTTCAGTAACATTGGCGTCAATCTGATCCGTCGATTTCTGGTACATCAGAAACAACGGTTCAGATTTCCGACTAAACAAATGAACCAACAGTTTGTGGAGTCAAACAAAAAGCAGAGACAATAGAAAACAATTGAGTTAAATATTATTTTTTCAATTATTATTTTTATTATTATTAGTTAGTTAGTAATAGTTTGTAAACAAAAAAGTTTTTTCATTCAATATTTCATTCAACATTCAATATCAATATTTTAGTATATATTTATTATTATTATTATTTTTTTAAAAACAAAAATTATCAATAAATTTCTATTTTTCTATTTAATTAATTTTTCTTATTCAACAATTATACTGTATATACAGTATATACTTAGTTAAAACTATTAATATACATATAGTATATCAATATATTTGTTGTGTTTATTGATAAATATTTCTATACTTATATTAAATTTAGTACAGGTATTAGTTTAATAATTTTATAATATAATATTGAGTTAATAGATGCCATAACATATAGCATATTCCCTTATTGTTATTATTATATAATATATTTTTTTAAAAATAGCCTACGTAGCTTATTATTTGTTATTAAATAAATGTATCATGCTCAAATAAACTATAATTATATTACTAATTCAAATTTTTATTACTTATTGTAAATTATAATTTATTATAAATTGACTAAATTATAATAATATGATAGATTTGTTATCAATTTAGTGTATTATAATAGTTTTCATAATTTTATTATTATATTTATTTTTTAATTATTTTAAGTATTTTTATACGCATATGTGCTAAAAGCTATGTATGTTTTTTGCTTTACTTTAATAAAATGTTTTTTTAAAAGTTTATTTTTTTAAAAGTAATTATTATTAGTTTTGTTTAAAAGTAACAAAATATATGAACAAAATAAATGCATTTCTATCTATAAATATTAATAATAGCTATGATTATTATTATTAAAAGATTTTCATTAACACACACACACACACACACACACACACACACACACTTACTAACTTTTTTTACACACAATTTAACACCTAAAATACAAGTGTTTATTATATACTTTATTATTATTATTATTACACTATAGAAAATAAATGGCAATTTAAAAACATTTGAACAAATAAATATAGCATAAGTTTAGGCATTACGTGCTAAATGGTCCAAGTTTACAGTATATTATAAATATAAAGTATATATATATATATATATAACTTTACAGTATATTATGACATATTTATATAACTTCAAATTCAATGCTAGCAATATGGAAAAGTTAAAGTTAATAAATAGTAGTTTAAATATCATATATCGACTTACATATAAAATAAATATTTTTAACATGATGAAATAATAGATGAATTTTATTTTATTTTTTAAAAACTAAATGCATTAATTTTAAGTTTAAGATTCTTCAGTTCAGTAACATTGGCGTCAATCTGATCCGTCGATTTCAGTTATTTCAGAAACAACGGTTCAGATTTCCGACTAAACAAATGAACGATCAGTTTATGGCGTCAAACAAGAAAGTTAAGACTTAATATGAGATAACTATTTATTATTATTAGTTAGTAATAGTTAGTAAAAATAGACAATCAATTGTTTTTTTTATATATATAGTATATAAATTGCTTCAATTAATTTATTGTCAACTAAATCTCTCTCTCTCTCTCTCTCTCTCTTTCTTTCTTTTGATTTATGTTTTTAAAGCTATTAATATAAATTTATAATTATTATAATAAAATTATTTACTTATTATTTATGTTATTATTTATATATTTAATAAATATAAATTTCAATATATTGATTGATTGATATGTATATTGTTTTCTGTTTGCTATATAAAATGATAATTTTATTGTGTTTGTTATGTGTGTCAAAAAAAAGGTGAAACAATATGTCTCGTATATTAATTATATAAATTAGTTGTAATTAAATTAATATTAACAAATTATATGTAGTTAAACAGGTTTTTATTTTATGAATTAAAAATAAGTTGACTATTAGTAGATATGTTTTTTTAAACAAATTTTATACCACTTATTGTGGCCAATGTTTTCGATAGTGTTGAACAAATACAACACCAAAATGTTGAAGATTTTCATCAAGCAGTCCATCTATTATGTGGTATTGTCAGAGACAATAAAACTGATGACCAGATTATTAATGGCACTATCATTGGTTGGACTGAAAGACAATCAGACACTCGTCAGTCGTACAATGTTTTGCTTGATTACAATCAATCGGAAACAAATGACAGTTCGGTAAACACATTATACACGGACTCAATATTTCCGGTAGTAATAGGCGTTGGACTTAAACCAATAGCAAAACTACCCGTCGGTTATGGTTATGCTATTTACTTGTATTTGTTGTTTCATAAGAACATTCAAACAGTTGAACGCAAAGTTAGATTTGTGTCCAACAATCAAGAAATTGTTTGTCAAACATTTGGAGCAAATCTCTATCTATCAGCAAAACATTCCGACAAAATTGGATATAAAGATAAATGTATTGCTATTAAGCGAATACTGGATGTAAACAATTCCACGTATGATGTGATAGGACTGTACGCACCCGTCATTGCCAGACCTATAACAGGGACTCCGATAAGAGTTAGTAGAGATATTACCGACTCTAGCATACAGTATTCAGTCAAGTGTTTTGCCGATCGGACCACATATCTTGTTGGCAACGATGGCCTGCTTTGTGTCCTTGAAAAAGTGGACACTAGTATTAAAGAATGGATGGCATCACTTCTCAAGAGTGACACCTACTGTATCAGTGAAGGCTGGTCTGCGACAATGCTGTATAAAACACTAACAAGTTTTCACGGCTATTTCCCTCACGCGCCGTACAGTGAACTGATTGTCATTGTTGGCGAAGGAGCCAATCTATTGACAATCGAAAGAATAGCCGAAAAACTAGTTCCCAA